ACAAAGAAGACTCTCCTTTGCTATATGGCCATCATATAGGGAAAGGAATGATGAATCCACGTGGGCACCAAGTAGTCCTTCTGTCATGGGTGGATTTTCAGACAAATTCAAAAGAAGTTTCAAAACTTGAACCTTGGTGCTTCCGTTTCCAGTGAGTAACACATGGAACAGGTCTGTAATGTAACTATGAAGCAAGTGCTGGTGGTCATTGGTAACAGCCATGTTCGTTAATAATCTCAGTCCAGCCAGCTGCACAGCGGAGCTCAGAAGACCAGAGAAGACATCCTCACAGACTTGACTGATGAGTACCTTTACCACGATTTGATTTTCAACATTCACAGTCAAGTTATTTAGTACATTTAAAGGTTTCTCTTTAATATTGTGGTTGGGACTGTTGACTTTGCTTCCAACAATTGGAATACGACCCAATCCACAAATAATAGCTTGGTTAGCTGAAAAGCTTGCATTGTTACCCAAAGTGACCAAAGCTCTTTCAGTAATTACAGGGTCCTCAGTTGACTCAAGCAGGTAAAAGAGTTTCTGAAGTTGTTTAGCATTTAGTACATCATCACATGAACCATTGGTTAAGTCAATGCAGTAGCAGGTGCAGGCGCTGAAGACGAGGCCCACCACCACCCAAACCCCGTCCCGGGCACTGCCCATGCTGTGGCCGGGGCTGGGGCGCAGCGCTGGGCCGGGAGCCTCCAACGCATGTGGTCCTGCCACCGCCTGAGCACGACCAGGCTGCAGAGAAAAAGCTGGAGAAACTTACGTTGAGTGAAATAAGCAAAGCACAGAGGGATAAATACTACATGTACTCATAAGTGGGAGCAAAGAAAGAAAGAAGGATGGAAAGAAAAATCACAGTGGTGTGGTGGACTTGCAGAGGGAGAGAACACACCCAGGGAAACAAAGTGGAGTGGGGGAGAGGGGATGAGAAAGGAGGCTGGGGATAATTGGGTGGGGGACATGGGGTACAAATGCAATTTGTGGTAATGGGAATGCTGCCAGTATGGATCTGGCCATCACATCTTGGGCACCAGTGGTGACAATCAGCTTTGT